TGGCATAGAGCAGATCAATGAATACCCGTAATTGGACTCCACACAACAATTACCGACATAAGCATCCTATTTTTCAGTTAATCTGGACAATGAAATGTCTGTATCCGTAGGTAATATGCACTGTTCATTTTCATTACGAAGGGTTTTTCTTTTATTTTCGCCAATGGTAAATTAAGGTAGTCTGCCTCTCATTGCCCAATATCATAATGCAGCAGTTGAAACAAAAAAGAGTGGGACGATGCTGCCTGTATTGCATGACAGCATTTTAAAAAGGCTTGGTCGTTCACATTATGCATCCCTTCTATGTGTTGAATTTAAATGAAATGTTGCTATTTCACAGCGACAGCACTGGTATTTGCATACATAAATCCAGCCACCAGAAACTCGTAAACATAAATATGCCGATAAAAATGTGGTAAAGAAAATGCATTAACTGCTGGAAACCCAGAAATATGTTTGAATATGCAAATAATAATTCTATTTTTACTGCAAATAAATTCGTCATCTGACAAGATGGCTCATGATTTACACAGAAATAATATTTTGGACTGGCACGCTACAGATGTAAAGTTAGCATAATTATAGTATATGCACATTCAAATATTATAAGACTATTGGTAATCATAAAGCATTATACTTTAACACAAAAAACTATTATATCATTACTTTTTTTCAATACTATAGCAGTTCATGAACAGTAAATATAATTAGCAGGATATATATTTTAATTCAGGTGTGGTAATAATTTTGTTAAATCTAAGATATGAAAATTTGAATCTAATTAGGCACAGTTTCATAAATACATGAACAAGTCAAATTGCTGTCGTGTGTGCAGTGTCATATTGTCTCATGATTGGCCTGAGCTTAGCACTCTCATCCTCATAAATTGACTCTACTTGATGAAATTTATGGAATGTAATTTATTCGTATCGTGGTACTTTGCAATGTCTCTGGTTTCTCGAAATACATGAGGCATGGATGACGATGATGAACTGTAAATCAGATGTTGGTTCACGTCTTCTAACTAACTTCAAAAAGCAGCTGTTAATTATTTAAAATACACATGTGCAAGTATATACACCAAGTCTAACGTCCATTGTCTTTTGCTTCAAGATTGAGTGAATGGCCAAATATAGAGAACCCTAAATTAATGCAAAACTAAAAAAAAAATCCCTCTAGAGCGTCAATAGCTTGGATGTGGCTTACTCTGCTTCATTCTCTATTCGAACGAATGTGGTATGCTACTGTTGTGCCTACATATGTTCATACTTCTGCTTGTACAGTGAGAGAAGAAAGTATTTGATCCCCTGCTGATTTTGTACGTTTGCCCACTGACAAATAAATGATCAGTCTATAATTTTAATGGTAGGTGTATTTGAACAGTGAGATACAGAATAACAACAACAAAATCCAGAAAAACGCATGTCAAAAATTTTATAAATTGATTTGCATTTTAATGAGGGAAATAAGTATTTAACCCCTCTGCAAAACATGACTTAGTATTTGGTGGCAAAACCCTTGTTGGCAATCACAGAGGTCAGACGTTTCTTGTAGGTGGCCACCAGGTTTGCACACATCTCAGGAGGGATTTTGTCCCACTCCTCTTTGCAGATCTTCTCCAAGTCATTAAGGTTTCGAGGCTGATGTTTGGCAACTCGAACCTTCAGCTCCCTCCAAAGATTTTCTATGGGATTAAGGTCTGGAGACTGGCTAGGCCACTCCAGTACCTTAATGTGCTTCCTCTTGAGCCACTCCTTTGTTGCCTTGGCCGTGTGTTTTGGGTCATTGTCATGCTGGAATACCCATCCACGACCCATTTTCAATGCCCTGGCTGAGGGAAGGAGGTTCTCACCCAAGATTTGACGGTACATGGCCCCGTCCATCGTCTTTTTGATGCGGTGAAGTTGTCTTGTCCCCTTAGCAGAAAAACACCCCCAAAGCATAATGTTTCCACCTCCATGTTTAACGGTGGGGATGGTGTTCTTGGGGTCATAGGCAGCATTCCTCCTCCTCCAAACACGGCGAGTTGAGCTGATGCCAAAGAGCTCCATTTTTGGTCTCATCTGACCACAACACTTTCACCCAGTTGTCTTCTGAATCATTCAGATGTTCATAGGCAGACTTCAGACGGGCATGTATATGTCCTTTCTTGAGCTGTGGGACCTTGTGGGCGCTGCAAGATTTCAGTCCTTCACGGCGTAGTGTGTTACCAACTGTTTTCTTGGTGACTATGGTCCCAGCTGCCTTGAGATAATTGACAAAATCCTCCCGTGTAGTTCTGGGCTGATTCCTCACAGTTCTCATGATCATTGCAACTCCACGAGGTGAGATCTTGCATGGAGCCCCAGGCCGAGGGAGAATGACAGTTATTTTGTGTTTCTTCCATTTGCGAATAATCGAACCATAGGTTGTCACCTTCTCACCAAGCTGCCTTGTGTAGGTCTACAATTTTGTCCCTGATATCCTTGGAGAGCTCTTTGGTCTTGGCCATGGTGGAGAGCTTGGATCTGATTAATTGATTGCTTCTGTGAGCAGGTGTCTTTTATACAGGTAACAAGCTGAGATTAGGAGCACTGCCTTTAAGAGTGTACTCCTAATCTCAGCTCGTTACCCGTATAAAAGACACCTGGGAGCCAGAAATCTTTCTGATTGAGAGGGGGTCAAATACTTATTTCCCTCATCAAAATGCAAATCAATTTATAACATTTTTGATATGCGTTTTTATGGATTTTGTTGTTGTTGTTCTGTATCTCACTGTTCAAATACACCTACCATCAAAATTATAGACTGATCATTTCTTTGTCAGTGGGCAAACGTACAAAATCAGCAGGGGATCAAATACTTTTTTCCCTCACTGTATATTGTAAAGCTATTGGGGTTCTTTCATTTCTGTATGCTTTGAAAGGTAACCAACGTTTTGGAGTGCTGTGTGAATACATTCCCCTTTGGTTTTATTTTATTGGCGGAATTCAATGTGAGGTTGTACTGGCATCAGTATAACCTCCCATTCATAAATCACGGACTAAGTAGCTAAGAAGCAGCACGATTCCAGAACGCTCAGATGCCTCTCAAATATCAAAATGCATCCATCCCTTAGGGTTGGCACCAGTCCTGGTTTTCCCAAGATTGTCCTCTTTTGGAGATATTTGCCCTGGAAGTATTTTCGGAACGTAGAACATCAAAAGTTATGTTTTTTGTCAGTTATGTGTACAGTACTTCTTCCCTCTTCTGGTATTGTGAAATATTTGTTCTTCCCATGAAATGTCTTGTTTGTTTTTACCACAGGAGGTGGCAACCCTCGTATTACTTCTCGAATGAAAACGAAGGAGAACACCACAACTCGCAATCCATTTTCGAGTCGAAGAAAAAAAGAAGCAGAGGGAGACATAGAATGAGATGGTTTGATGTCTTCAGGAATTACATTGAACAAACGTTTGCAAGTATGACTAAGGCAACACAGCGAGGAAGAAAGAGATAGGATTCATGGGGCCCGGTTGTTGATCTTGAGCGGACCACAGGGAAAATTAATAAAAATCACTGGACATCCTTACTTAATGCTCAATGAAAAAACCGTTCCACGAGATAATGTAATGTAATTATGCTGCAAGTTCCCTTGGAGTGACGTCAATTGGGAACTCTGCTGACACGAGCTGGTGTAAGACGAAATGTGTATTCTTTTGAGGTGTCCAAATCATTAGTGGCCATTTAAATATATCATTCCAATTCTGTTTAGACGTGTAACAAACACAGACAATCCACCACTTTGATTTGTAGATTATCGGGAAAAGTTATGATATTAAACACATATTAAGGTCATCACAACACGAGGGTGTGATTTAGCAAACATCACACCTGCCCTCGTTTGTTTAACTAGTGGTGATGTTCACAATATGTACCAGTAGTAAGTTTATCTTAAAATGACAACGGAAAGCCCAAGCGAGGCCCAGACACCAACAGCTACTGGTGATATTTATGGCCACAAAGTCAGGAATGGAGCCCAGATATCTAGGTCCATGGGTGGAGCAGTGGCGTAAGTGATTAGTGCGCTGCGCTATGAACCTGGTCACTCGAGTTCAATTCCTTGCCATGGCTGACATCAGTGGTGAGCGATATCTGAATTGGTCCTGAGCACCCCTTCACCCTCTTTGACAACTTGCATTGAATAGCAAGGTGAATATGGTAAACAGATCTCCTATGAATATAGATTTGAAGCTTTCGTGACTGCAGGAATCCATACTCTCTGGTTCTTTCAATAAATTCACGTAGGTATACAATAAAATATACATAAATCACGACGTTTCGATTGCAACACAAGCAATCATCATGTGGGAAAACCACAGCAAGAAAATGTTTTGCTGAAGTGGGAGAGAGATGCCGTGGTAAGAGGTTATATAGGTAAGAGAAGGGGGAGGGGCAAGGGAGGGGGGTAGGGATATGGGAGCGTTGCGTGGACGTTAGGAGAGGGACGTGAAGCTGGACGGGGGGGGAAGTGGGCGGGGCTGGAAGTGGGAGGCTGGGAGAGCCTTTACCGAAAGAACTAGAGAGATCTTCTATGACTGATTCGGCATGGGGAGGCCTCCTTCCTTCAGCAGCAGATTGACAAAGGCTGAACATAAGATAACTGTTGTATTCCACACGTCAAGGTCTTCGATTCACCACCTTCTTCATTTATGCTGTGTCCTTTACAGAAAGAGTTGCGGCATGGGTGTGCAGCAATAACAGATGCAGCCATGTCGAGTGTGATAACTCTTACAACTTTCTCCCACTCACAAGTGTACACAAACACACAACAAAAAGAGCTGCCAATTGCCACTAAATCACGGTGACATCACCATAGAGCTTGTGCCAGGGTCGGCAAACTTTAAGGCCATATTACACGTGGAAGGCTCGCTGGCAGGAGGTCACAAGGCAGATCCAGATGTTACGGGTTGACTGACTGAGATGTCTGGCAGACATTCACGTACACACCAAAGCACTAAAACGTAGCAATGACAACTCACGGTGACTCCCAAAAAGTTGGTCTCGTTCAAGGCGTCAAGCAAAATTTGTCCGATGCGTTGGTTGGTGTAGCTGAATGACTCGATGGAAGCAACGAGGCTCTTGTCCGCCTCCAGCAACTCAATCGTTCGGTTTAAAACTTGCGCAATCACCCAGATGCCATCATAGGCGTAGCCATGAAACTTGCTGTGCGGTGCCACCTCACTCAGACCCAACATATGATTGTACTCCTCTTCATATTGCTGTGGCGTCTGGGGTTTAAAACAAAGGAAACGCATTAATGCTTTGTAATGCACAACAACAACAACGCAACGATAAGGAACCTCCCTCCACAATATGTTGATGCAACGCTGCCCATTGAAAGGACATGAACTCTGTTAAAGTATGTTTTCTTATGGCCGTCCACAAAAACTTTTGACAATAAGATAGTCGAGCACAAGAAAATAAGATCATAGGGAAATTCTTTACACAGTATAAGGTGCCTTTCATAAATTTCCATTACTACCTTAAATTATCTGATTATTCGTCTTATTTGTTGTGCTTCCCATACAAAAACAGAGATCTTTGGACATTTAACCTCAACACAACAGAACCCAATAAAATGTCCAGCCCACAGGCACGATGTGCTTTGGTACTCAATATCAGCCCTTACAAAGTCCACAAAATGCTTCTTTTCATTTTCCCTCATGTACATAAAAGTACACGCTGTAATTTTAAACTCTTCATATGAATAACTTTTTTCTGACAGTTCTTCATTGGTGCATGGTGGATTAAGTTATAAAGCATGACATTTTTGTTTTGTTTTTGAGCACTTCAACATCACTTCCATTCAAAGCTAACTGCATTTGTACAGATTTGTGCCCGACGTCATTTCGTATTATACTGCACATGCCATGCCACGAGTGAGGCTCACCAGCCCAGAGATGGTGCGATCGGGCCGAGTGCTGAGCGGCATGAAGTCCACATAGATGCAGTTCTCCATGGCAATGAGGAGGTTCTTCTGAGGGCACTGCTGCTGCGTATGCTCCCACCAGCGGCTGCCGTACCAGCCCGGGATCACCCACTGATACTTACTCCCATACATGCCTTCGTCATAGGCCTGGTGTCAGGGACAGGAGCAGGTTTGAAATTATTATACAGAGCAGATTCCATATTAAAAACCAAATCATTTTGTGGATGAGAAAACTGGAGTCAACTTTGTAGAAAAATCACATCAGGTGGCACATCATGCATTATTCAAGAACAGCAATTTGAGCTTTACTGAACTCCTATACACTCTAAGCTACAGCCCAAAGATAGCCGCAACGTCTGTATTGCCTTGCACTGCTTTAAAAATGGAAGCTTTGGGACATGAACGATTTCATGTTCAATGAATGAAATATTTAGCAGTGAAATTGTGTAACTACAAGCTGTGAAAAAGTGTGATAACCGACATATGAACGTGCTGTGAAAGACGATGTTTGTTGTCTACGTGCTCTTAGTACTCACGCAGCAAAAGACTTTTGCTGCCATTTCTTCGTCAAATTGACCCAGTATAATCCTGACATCCGAAGTCTGCAATAACATCGTTACACTTATGAGCAATGGTGTCAAAATGAATGAAGACATATCAAAAGAGCACACTGCTGTTTGTATAAAATATTTACATCATCAACATGCATTCTTTTATTTATATATGTTCATACTCTTTGGGTCTTTCGGTAAAGTCACGTAGATAGAAAAGTAATTTAAAAAATCTTGAGGTTTCGATCGCAACGCAAGCAATCGTCTTCAGGTGAACAAATACAGCAGGCGAACTGCTGAGGCAGGAAAAATATAGCAGGAGAGCTGCTGCAACAAGAGGTTATATAGGTTTGAGATGGGTGCAACCTAAGGGTAAGTGGGCGGGGCTAGAGATAGAATTTGCATGTAAATGTAAGATCGCAGAGCCTGATATACTTCACGACTACGGTGCTGAAGAGGTGGCCATTGTATTGCTAGAGATTAGCATGTCAATGTGAGACGGCTCCCGCAGCAGCGGCTGTGTTAATGAGAAGATAGGCATGTCAGTGTCAGAGAACCGGGCACAACGCCACCTCGTGGGCAACAAAAGCTGCGGCGTTGGCCGCTGCACTATGAGAGACCAGCATGTCAATGCAAGAAAACCACCGCAACAGTGGCCGTGCCAGTGAGACATTCAACCTATTAAACAACGAGAGCCACCGCCACATCGAGGCAAAGGGAGCAGCAGCTGTGTTAGTGAGACATTTAACCTGTTAATGTAAAGACATTTAACAAGGTAGTGTAACTCAGAGAATCGGAAATAACTACTAACATTGGCAGGTAGGCTGGAAGCATCACAGCCAGTTATGACTTTACCTGGTTAATAACGTCCTTCCAATGTGTCTTACTAATATAGCCGCTGCTCCCTTTTCCTTGATGTGGTGGTGGCTCTCGTTGTTTATTAAGCGGAATGTCTCACTGGCACGGCCATCGGTGCGGTGGTTCTCTTGCGTTGACATGTTGGTCCCTCACAGTGCAGCTTTTGTTGCCCACGAGGTGGCGTTGTGCCCGATTCTCTGACACTGAAATGCCAATCTTCTCATTCTTTATTTGAAGTCATGTAGGTAGAAAAAATACTATGATGCAGGCTACTTTTAAAGGTTAGAGATGGGCGTAACCCCAGAGTCATAAACGAAGTGGGGGGGGGCTAGTGATGTTAAAGTAAGAAATTTGCATGTAAATGTATTGTGTAAATGTATTGTGTAAATGTGATTAGAACATCAATGTAAGCTCGCAGCGCGCCATCACATCGAGGACTGCATGTAAACGTGAGATCGGCTCACAGCACACCGTCACATCGAGGACTGTATGTAAATGTAGAAATGTGCATGTTAATGTACTGTGTAAATGTGATTGGCATGTCATTATCTCATTAACACAGCCGCTGCTGCGGGAGCCATCTCACATTGACATGCTAATCTCTAATCTCTAGCAATACAATGGCCGCCTCTTCAGCACCGTAGTCATGAGGTATATCAGGCTCTCCGATCTTACATTTACATGCAAATTACAGATTGACATGCTAATCTCTAGCAATACAATGGCCGCCTCTTAGGCACCCGAAGTTGTGAGGCATTTCAGGCTCTCTGATCTTACATTTACATGCAAATTCCATCTCTAGCCCGGCCCACTTACACTTGGGTTGCACCCATCTCAAACCTATATAACCTCTTGTTGCAGAAGCTCTCCCACTATATTTATCCTGCCTCAGCAGTTCGCCTACTGTATTTTTTCACCTGAAGACAATAGCTTGTGTTGCGATCGAAACGTCGTGATTTTTATTAATATTTTTGTATCTACGTGACTTTACCGAAAGACCCAAAGAGTATGAATCCCTGGAGTCACGAAAGCTTTAAGTCAAGATTTATATACGTTCATTAAATAAATGCAATTATCTATACAGTACACATTATAATACTTGTATTTGTCCATAAAGTAGTAAAAACTGTCAATTATTTTCATATACTTGGTGTTTAGGATTGATTCGTGAAAATCGCCCTTTCAAATGGGTGCAATCCAGACATACCTTGAAGTTTTGGACATTGACGCATGGATCGTTGGAGAAGCTCTGCGTTTCAGCAATCTGGATTCCCGCTTTATCCAGCTCTTTTGTCAAGTCGTTGTGCACCTGCCAAAAGATAAACGACAGTTGGGGTTCGTTTCATTATTATTATTATTGTTCACTCACTGACTTAGTTCTTCAGTTATTGTTCAGAAAGAGCTGACCCCCTGCACTGGAAAATAAAAAACAATCTTATTAATTTGTTCCCATCAGCCAATCAAAATGTACAAGTTGATTTTTAATTTATTTTCATCATTAAGCCATTGTAATTGTACTAGTAAACAATGCAACACATGGACAACAATGGAACTGTTGTAACATTTAAGTATCAAGCATTTTCGCTGTTAATTATGGCTTGAGGTGTTTTCCACACATTGTATGTGTTTGTGATAATTAAATCATTAAATTTGGAATGCACCCTCACATTGTCCAACTTGAAACTTTGAACATCAAAAACACTAACTCACAAACATCATCCTCTAATTGCTCAATTTAGTTTAAATATGCTGGATCTTTTGGAATAAACATTGTAAATACCTGTGAAACTTGTAACTTTAAGTACATCCCATATTGTTCAACACGTTATCATAACATTTGTATATTCTATCATTACTACTCTTATGCTATCTTTAAAAAAAGGTAGTATAGGAAATTGGTTACAATCTTTTTTTCAGCCACACATGGTGAAAATATGACGTGATAGAATTGATGGAGGTGGCGACCGTTTAAGAAGGCTTCATTCAGCAGTGGATTGACGATGGCTGATGATAGGAGGATGAACCTGGGTTCTCAAATGCAGCAGCTCAATGGTTTCAACCTGACCACTGATGACTGCACCAGAAAAGCCCCATCGGATTAAATGTAGTCGTTCACTAAACAGGGCTTATTCCAGTTTGGTTTGTGACACAAACTCTTTTCGGAGCATAAAATAGACACGCCCGTGGTATGTGGCTTGCCATGTTACGGCACTGTAAAGGTTGTCGTGATCATTATTATCATCTTCTTTCATATGACACAGTAATTTTGTAAAGTGAATTTATTATGATTTATTTGAGAAACGTAAAAAAGTATATAGCATGTTAATTATTACATTTTTATTAATTCAGATGTTTTGCCTATTGCCACTGCATTGGCTTAACGCACATCTGGTGATTGTAGACTAATCATAACACCCCCTCAGAACATCAAAACATGCCTTAAATTTAGTTTTTATTGATGAGGGGGGGGGGGGGTAGATTGAATGCGTCACTACTCTCCACACTTGTTTCACAGACGTGTAGGATTATGTACACTGCTTGTTACCGTTGGGTGCAAGGTTGACATACCATGCCATTCTCATAAGCACATAACGAGACCCAAAATTCATCAGACTGAGAATATAAACCGGTGCGCGCTCATCCATTCCCCCACACCGCCGCAACATCTACAGATAAAATTCACTATTTCCGATATTTGTTCTGATAATACTGTTGCTGAGATTTGATTTAAAACTGCAGACAAATGTGTAAATGCTTCAATTGCATAGACAAAAGCTCTGCAGATACGGATGCGATTCCTCTTTGATGTCACTGAACAAGCGCCTTGCATGCTAATTTTACCAGATGACTTCAAAGCTGTTTAATGGTACTGTAGTCATGAAAGAATGCTCACTTGAGCTTCACGGTGCTGTTGTATGGCAACAGTGCAATATACTAAAATGAGCGGATAAATATAAGTAAAATATTAACAACGAAATGTTGTATATTGGCCTTTTTCCTAAATTGATATTAAGAATAATTCTGCCAATATTTTTTTTAAATAATAAATCGGGGTGTAGCGTGGGGCACAAAAATACATATAACAAAAACCCTCACCCCTCACCCCGCTGCCTCACAAGTCATACAAGGTGGCATGAGAATAAATGTATTATCCTGATTGATAATACAACCCTATACAACGAAGCCGAGCTTAATTTAGCATAATTACATCACACTTGTATAACTTCATACAATTCATATTCTTGGTTCTTTCGGTAAAGTCACGTAGAAGGGAAATAATAAAATAATATAAATATAAAACAATAAGACCATTTTCTTGCTGTGGATTTCACACCTGATGATGATTGCTTGTGTTGCAGTCGAAACGTGTTTTATATTTATATTATTTTATTATTTCTCTTCTACATGACTTTACCGAAAGAACTAAGAATATGAATCCCTGCAGTCACGAAAGCTTTAAATCAAAATTCATACAATTTATTGTATTATCCCGATTGATAATACGACCCGAGACCACGAGGCAGAGCCTAATTATCATAACGGCATGCATTAGCATAAGCACATACATGTGCATAACTTAATATAATTACACCTTCCTTTTGCGCATAATTACATAAATTGTCATAATTTAGGATAATTACACATTTTGCCATTTTTATTTAAATTGTATTATTTTTTATTAATTTTTCAAGACTCGACATATACAACAGAAAGCAACAATTGTATAAACAAAAATGTGGTGTGGTTGCATTATTATCTCTACATTTGCAGAATTATATCCTACTTAAACTGTGCAACTTGAACATATATGGTTTAATTTGCATATTTACAAAAAGACAATATCTGCCAAAAACCCTGTGGTAATGTGGTTTAACCTCAAACAATGCTCAGGCCCGCGTCTGTCCTGAATACTCGTTTATGAACGTTCACTTATAAGAAGAGCACACATCACTGAGTGTGCGAGGATAATTTAGCGGCAGGCATGGGGCGTTAGGTCAAATTTCCCACCAAAGGTATATAATTCCATGCCTTCAATCTATTTATAACATTGCTTAATATACTTATGTTTGAGGAAAGTTATCATTACAGCTATATCTTGGCAAACACAAATGGTAGAGCCCCTGGCCTAGACAACCTGCGAGGGCTCATGTCCATGCATGGGCACGGCAACCTGTAATTTACACCATCACATAAAAACATGTGCAATTTTCAGGGGTGATGTTATGCAAATTAAGCTGCTGCGCTAATACTGTATCGTTACAGGATTGTTCCGAGCTCCTGGCTTAAAGGTCGGCTTTGAGCGTGGACGTGGTTCCCTGTTTATTGCCGCACGACTCCTCAAGGAACCGAACTGTCCGGCAATCTGTGAAAGTGTAATCAATACTGAGAAAAGTAAAAGTGGTGAACGTCGTTAAATATTAACGGTCTTCCTTTTTCAATATAATTGGACCACATCCATCCTGTATTAACCTCAACTTACATATGCATATTCCTTTAAAGCATATTCTGTTTGTTCTCTATGGTGCTGGTATATTACTCTATTCACATAGCTTATAATGGCTAAATATGGCATGCAAAGGTCTCAGTCTGCAGAAGCAGATCCTGTTTTATTATTATTATTACACGCTTTAATTTAACTCACTCCGTCTGTTGTATCCTCAAAAACAATCTTGTAACTCAATTTTTACCCACTTCCCAATGTGCTATCGACTGCAAACTTGAAATAAATACCTATGTCATACTGATGACAAGACTATATTCTATCATAAATAATCCAAAACATGTATTTTTAAACATTTTACACGCTTTTAATTAGCTTACTCTGTGTGTTGTCGTATCCTAAAATCTTGTAACTCAATTTCAACCGTCTTCCCAATATCGTATCGACTGCAAACTTGGTATAGGTATGTCATACTGATGACAATACTATATTCTATCATTAAAAATTAAAAATATATATTTTTAAACAATATTTTTTATGGCTCTAATTGTCCACGCTTTAACTCACTCGGGGAGCCACGCCGAGGGGCGGGGGATGTGGAAGGAGGGGAGGGGCGATAGGTGAAGGAGGCAGGGGGAGGGGCAGCTCGGACAGTACATTTCATTAAAGCGTGTTTTTTAAAAGTATTTTTTAAAAATGTTTGTTTGTTGGGCGACTTTCCGCTACGAGGAGTTGGGCGACGCTGTCGTTGGCTGGGCGCATTCCAGCTCACACGGGCGCACCTCGGAGAAGCGCTGCACGTCCTGTGCGAGCGTGCCCACGCGCTGCCACTTGTAGTGCTGCAGGAACCTCACGATGGCAGGGTTCACTGCGTTGTCCGACGGCACCGTGCGGAAGAAGTTCGGGTACTTCTTCTTGTCCGAAAGCACGGGTGTTGTGGCCGCAAATGACAGCTGCTCCCAACATTGACGACAGAGCGATAGCGAGAGATTACGGAGGAGGCAGACAACACCGAGCGAGGTGAGAGATCGACGTGCCAGGTGCATATCATTCGCAAATGCACATGCAAAATAAGACAGGCAATATAAGAGGTGGAACATAATTTTTTTCGTCAATTGTTAAAGCAGAAATTCAGAACAGGAGCAAGCTCATTGCAGAGAGGCGCCAAGGTGAGAGGGCCATGCAGCCCCCTGGATAAACAAAATGACACCGACATTAACCGTCCATGTACATGCTTAAGGCATACTTATAGCATGCGTACACAACACACATATATTATACAAATTACCGCACAATATCTTCTTGGTTCTTTCGGTAAAGTCACGTAGAAGGGAAGTAATAAAATAATAAAAATAAAACATAATAAAACAATTCTCACGACGTTTCGGCCACAACGCAAGCAGCCGTCCTCAGGTGAAGAATGAGACAATGCCAAGCTAGGAGCTTATATATAAGCTGCGTTGGAGGTGGAAGAAAGAGCGCCTTAACAAAAGAACCACGTGACTTTACCGAAAGAACCAAGAAGATGAATCCCTGCAGTCACGAAAGCTTTAAATCGAAATTTACCGCACAATACTAAACCGTTAAGCTGTCCATTCGATGTGGAGCATACGGATTCCCCCTCCGTTACCACTAATGTGTGCCGTGAAGGGGCGTGGGAAAGCTCGTTCCACCCCATGCTACCCCTTTGCTTTTTAATCGCTGGTTTAAAGTCAGGGCAAGTGCGGCCGTGAGAGTCTGGGGCAGGAGGGAGTGTGCTGCCAGAGTGCTGACATGCAGCACACGTTTAGAATTCGCTGCAGGCCCCATCACTCATGCAGGGATCCCTAAGTCTGTATGTTTGGTAGCCATTGACAGTGTTCTGCACAGTACCAATACTGTCTTGTATGTAATAGTTTACTATGATCCGGGGGCAGACAGCCCAGAATGATACAATGTTGAGAAAGCCCCTATCTGGGTTGGGCTAGACTAGAGTGTAGGCCCATTCACCTCTAAAATACATTATCCCTTGCCACGAAGATGTGTGACAATTAAATATCATATATCTCTGCAATGGCCCTTCTGTGCTTAGAAGAAGGGCCATTGCCCATAATGTCACCTATTATATATTGGTTACCTTTCAAGGCCACAGTGTTATTGCTGGGTGTGTTGAGTGTGTTTTGTTAATTGTGCGTGTGCACCACTGCCGATGCAGCATTGCCTAGATCCCATTCATCACTCATCTCGTCACAACATCTTAACCACAACGGTTCAAACTGCAATCTAATGAATTATTCCGAAAAAATATTAAGTATTCCCTAATCATGAATTTATACATTTAATTATTTATTAGAAGATGATCTCTTTATGGCCACTCCGTATACGAAACTGCACGTTCGCACTACTTATGCAGGCAGATGAACGTGTGAGCACGTACCCAGGAGAAGAAAAACATTTGCAGTCAACAGCCACGATCCTCCAAATTCATTACAGCACCCCCGTCTTGACCCTTTCATGCAATAATGATAATCACTTCACGCGAGACTGAAAGCTGCAAGTGTGTACATTGCAGGTTTTCACCCTTAATCCATTATATAAACCAAGCTTTTGTGTAGCATTGATCTGTACCGAGGCTGGCAGTGCCTGACACTTGGTGATTTGTTCTATTAAGCTGATGGATTATTCAAATGATAATCTGTATACTCTTGTACTTTATGTTGAAGTAAATCGGTCCACATAGGAACAAGAGCAAATATATTAAGTGCTACAGAAATGCAATAAATCGTAATGTTTCTTGGAATTTTCAAATTACCATCATGTGTTCCCAATCTCGGTGATTGTGATATGTGCTTTTAACAAATATATAGCTTTTTCATCACTCAACAGGAATACACTAAAAGGTAACCATCCACCCGCAGTTCTTGACATCCTCACGAAATAATCTATTTCTTGCATGTTTGTTTAAGTTATGACTGTATATGCAATTATAATGGGGGAAGAAGATGACAACCTGCTCGCGGTCTTTCCTGCTATGTGCGAAAGCACAACGAATGTCATCACATCAGCGGCCGAATGCCCGACAAAGGTATCCCGGCCTAAAAAGCAACAGTACAGCCAGTGAGCTGGAACACGTACACCAAGCCCTCAGGATGAACGGATATTCTGACCGTACAATCTGCAAAAACAACCATCTGAAGATCCAACCAATACCATCACTTTGCCATACATAGCAGGGGTTACCAAAAATATTTCCAAAATCTTAAACAAACACAAGATCCAGGTTCGTTTCAACACAGTACACAAAATCCGTGATTGATCCCATCTGTAAAGGATGTGATTCCTGATATGCAATACCCTGGTGTCTACAAACTGAGTTGTGGCTGCGGCAGCAGTTACATTGGGGAAACGAAACGACATGTCTCGGACCGCGTTCGTGTACACACAAGGCAGATCTGAAACACGGCAGGACCAATACCTCTGCCGTTGCTGATCATTGTTTTAACGCAGTGGGCTCACGAAATTGACTTTTCCAAGACGAAGCTACTCTGCAAACCCACCGGCAATTATCAGATATTTGTTCATGAAGCCATCCAGATATATAAACACAGACACAACTTCAACCGAGAAGATGGGTACAAACTGAGCAATCATTGGAAGGACGTTATTAACCAGGTAAAGTCTTCACTGACTGTGATGTACCCCTACCTGCCTATGTCAGCTGCCATTTCCCACTCTCTGTGTGTATTTCTCTCTCTCTCTCTGTGCATCTCTCTCTGATCTCCACTCCAGTGACCCGGGTGCTGCCGCGGGGTCCACTTTCTGCCCGGCTTCCTTCGCCCCCCCCTTATCTCCTCCCCCCTGCAGCCGATCTCTCCAGTGCTGCCGCGGTGGTCCACTTTACTCCAGTGGCCTGGATGCTGCTGCGGGGTCCACTTTCTGCCCGCCTCCCCCCCTTCTCTCCCCCCTCCCCCTACTGCCGAGGCCTATATAACCTTGTGCCACAGCAGATCTCTTGCCTACTTCAGAAGTTTTTTCTTGCTGTGGTTGTCCTACCTGATGATGATTGCTTGTGTTGCGATCGAAAAGTCATGAACTATTATTTTTCTACTTACGTGACTTTACCGAAAGAACCAAAGAGTATAGTATAGAGAGCATTTCACAAGGTCTAAGCAATGTGAATGTCGGCCCGTCGATGCAAGTCATGCAGCTTAACATCGAAGGCCTCTCCAGTGTGAAATGCAATTACATTTTGAAGATTCTCCAGTTTTAAGATTTTGCCGTCCTTGCACTGGAAGAAATACATCTAGATCGACAGTGCCCTCGATCAAAGATAATCGGATACACTGTCATTGCTGCAAGCCACCATCTGAAACATGGCCTTGCAACATGCATAAAGAACAAACTGAAGGACAAGATCCAGGTCATGCCACACACCTCGCCACACTATATCGCCATCAAGATCAATGACGTGACAGTGGTCAATGTCTACAAGCCTCCAGGTATGGAATGGCCGTGTCCGGCATTATTGCAGCCAAGCCACCCTATCATCCACGTAGATGACTTCAACAGCCACCACACATTGTGGGGCTATAGTGCCAACTAACATCATGGGCAGCGGCAGAAGACCAGCACTTGCTCTATGACACAAAAGACCGCAGTACTTTCAAGTCGGCGAGGTGGAAAAAGTGCTATACGCCCGATTTAGGTTTTGTGTCTCAGGATCAGAACGGAAATCCGATGCCGTTAATGAGAAAAGTCCTAGACAACTTTCCAAATAGTCAAACATAGACCTGTAGTGATCCATATGGGTATTCAGATTCCGCTCTTCCGCTGCACACCAAAACCGCGTTGGAATCTGAGACCAGCTGAATGAGTGAATTTCACTGCGGACTTGGAAGAATCAGTTGGAATGATACCTCCACACACAGTCAACTACCTTCGTTTTGTTGGTCTCATAAAGGCAGTTGCCAAGGCCAACATCGCAAGAGGCTTCAAAAAGGTATTTATTCCATGTTGGACTCTAGAAAGCAAACAGCTTTTCTGGAAATTCAATGCTGATAAGAAGCAGGAGACTGCAAAAGCCGTACTCGATGTACTGAATTTACAAAGAAGAGAAAGGTGGCGTGAAACAGCTGAGGCACTTGACTTTGCAAAATCTAGCCGTAAAGCCTGGCGCCTCCCGAGGTTGATGGAAGCAGCCGCGATGTCAGCCTATAAACCTCCGCAAGTCAGTTCTGACGAGATTGATAGGCAACTTATCAACAATTCACGAAATTCCATCGACAAAAACACAAGACGGCAAGTCTACAAATAACTTTATTGCACACTAGATAACTGCAAATAAACTTCTGAATTCTCCCGTCTGTTCTCAGTGGAGGAATTGCCCAGTTGAAATTCGGGAAAGCCTCAGGTCTTGATGATATTTATGCCGAATTAATCAATAACTTGGGACCAAGAGCGAGAAAATGGCTAGCCACATTCTTCACTGACATCCATTCCACAGGCATCGTTCCGAAGGAGTGGAAAGAGGCAAGGATAATAGCAATTCTGAAACCAGGAAAGGACGCATTGGACGCTCAAAACTACCACCCTATCTCCCTAATCAGCGTCTGCTACAAACTAATGGAGCGGCTTCTGCTCAAAAGGCTGATGCCGACACTTGAGGAAATAGTTCCCCAGGAACAAGCAGGATTTAGAAATGGTTGAAATTGTTGCGATCAGGTGCTTGCCTTAACAAGTCACATCAAAGCCGGTTTCAAACGCCAGCTCAAAACAGCAACAGCTTTCATCGACCTCTCTTCAGCTTATGATACTGTATGGCAGAAGGGACTCCTGCGAAAGCTTGCGAAAGCCGTGCCTTGCTGCCTGACAATTAGACTAATCACCGAAATGCTGAGCAACCGATGGTTCACCGTCCACCTTGGTGAAGCTGCCAGCAGCACACGAAGATTGACCAATGGACTCCCACAGGGATCAGTTCTGGCACCAGCGCTGTTCAATCTCTATACTAGCGACATTCCAGCAACATCTTTCCGTAAGTTCACATATGCGGATGATATCGCACTCGCAACTCAAGCACAGAAAATGGAGGACTTGAGGTAGTCCTCGAATAAGATCTGAAGACTCTTGAAGATTACTTAAAGAATTGGCACCTAAAGCCTAACCCGTTGAAGAGCGTTGTCTCCGCCTTCCACTTGCACAACAGACAAGCTTCTAAAACATTGAACATTAACTTCTGCGGGGCGAAGCTAAGGCATGATGAACACCCTAGATATCTAGGAGTTACCTTGGATCGGACGCTTAACTACCATCACCATCTCAAACAAGCTAAAGGTAAGACGAAAGCATGAGTGAATATTATTCAGAAACTTGCAGCAACAACCTGGGGAAGCGATGCCAGCATGTTGAAGATATCAACGCAGGCTCTTGTTTACTCCACTGCAGAGTACTGTGCCCCAGTGTGGGGTTCAAGCCCTCACACGAACCTTGTCGATGCCGAAATTAACAACACGCTTTGTATCACCAGCGGTTCCCTAAAGTCTACTCCACTCCCGTGGCTTCCTGTGCTGGCGAATATCGCTCCTGCCAACATTCGACTCGATAGTGCGATGACACTGGAGTACAACAAAATAATGAAGAACTTCACTCTGCCGCTCCATCAAGATCTAAACGAACCCCTACACCCAAAGCTAAAATGCAGGAAACAGTTCTGGAAATGCACCTCTGCTCTAGCAGCCGAAAATAAAGACACCGCCACTCGGCGGTCTGAATCATGGGCGGCTATGGACGTGGCAAACCAAAACATCATTCATGATCTGACGGTGGCAGTACCAGGATTCTCTCTTCCACGACGACTATGTACCATGCTGAACTGCGCTCGAACACAACACGGCAGATGCGCATACATTTTATATAAATAGAAGATCAAAGAATCACCCAACTGTGACTGTGGAGAAGTCCAAACCATCAAGCACATCACCGATGAAGGCTCCATCCATGCATATCCTGGCGTTATCGCTGAAATCCACACTGCGTCAACCACATCATTGGACTGGATGAGGAACCTTTGCATTCATTTATGATGATCATTAAGAAAACATTTAAACTCTTGCTTTTCACAATGCCATACAAAAGAATGGACTAAAAAAACAACCATGATATAATAATGTATACATCTGAACTAAACAAATGATTACCAGCCCTTATGAAGAAGTATATGTGGTGGCGATTAGCTGTGGAACATGTCCATTTTTATAACAATGTTTTATTTGTAACCTTTTATATTCTCTCCCTCCGCATTTCCTGCAACATTTCAAACGTGCCACACCACTTGATACAATATTTTTTTTTTATTTCTGCACAGTTCGTAAAGTGGCATTGTGTAAGCGTTATGATTTTCAGAGGCATCACAAAAAGTAACGTGTGATAGGACATGGGCTGGCTTATATATATATATCTAAACGAAACTATTATTTTTAATTTTACCAGGTAAGAGCTATACAGCTCTTTTTCCGAAGCGACCTGGCCACAAATGATAGCTCAACGAAGTGGCTTATCATCGTGTGGACATTTATAGCAGGAGCTAAATACGCTAAACGCATCTTGACTATAAATGTGGAGGGGAAAACCGAAGGACTCGGAGAAGAATCCACGCGACCACGAGAACACGCAAACTTCAAATATACCGTATGTGTCAGTCGGAATCGAACCCACGACCTCCAGTATTACAGGCGAGGTAGTTAACATCTCACCATATACATATGATTAGATAAAAATACACATGAGCATGATGAGAGTCTGTCATTTTCAACATCCAAGCAGACGCAACACCTCATCTAAAACTTATGCATGACGTGGCCAGGTGGCTCAGGGGTCAGAGCACGGAGCTGTCACCGCTCAGATCCTGGGTTCAAATTCCAGCAGCTGCCCGTGGTAGACCAGTTTCTCAAGTGTGGCGAGTCGACGATCTTAACCCACTCTACAATGACTGGCTGAAACTAAATTGGTAAGTTATTTGAACATATTCTTTATCTCATGACATGCCACCGATAGTAGAAATAGAATAAAAAAAGATCTAAGAATTAAAATAATTATGTAATTTAAAAGGACCCACTCATATTCTTCTGGGTAAAATAACCCGTAGTGAGAAGAAACTGATGAGTGGCTGTTTCGTTTTGGGAATATGCCCATGCCTCAATGTCCAAAAAGAAGCACGTGAAATGTAATTCGTGACGCTTCCGATAATATGCTGAATGTGCCAAGGGGATGACAAACATGTTCGACATACATGGCATTCTCTGTAGAATTACATCGATAGAAACTGTAGCCAATTAGCTGTATACTTCAAATAAACAAGTAATTTGTGCATAACCCCATGCCTAACCTAAAACTGCAACCCCTTGAGTAAGGGTCGCATAAAGCGTGATGGATACCTCTAATTGAGGTTTAAGTACAAATAGCTTATTCTATTAATACACCATTGGCTATGCATTAAGTCGCGGGAATTCAAACCAACGGTGTTCCTATATAATGAGAACATAACCAATAACCTATCCCTGCTCAGTCCAGATCCACCTTCTACAACATTGTTTGTGCAACAAACAAAACAAATTAAGTGGGAGCAGGCAATCATGTGCGGTTTAATTTCACAGACCACGCTCTGGAGCAGGACCCTAAAAAAGGTGGCTGGTGCAAACATGCAAGATGGCTGGGTGGAGGCTGCTGTAATATCAGAGCACTGAACCTTTGCTACTCATTTTGTGTGAAATTTGTCCCACTAAGGTTTATGCTAATGTTTTTGCAAAAGCTATTTTTAAAAATTCTGTCAAACAGCTTTTTCTCAAAAAAAAGATTTTTATGGTTGAATTCCAATTGCTTAATTTCACCTGGGGTATGTCGAGGTCAGTATGTTATTTCGACACTCGGCACACCACATGCAGTATACATCTCGCTATGGTTGTGGCTACGAGTCACGTGCCTACTCCACTCTACCGGTGTTCTGCGCTGATATGATACTAATAATCACAGCACTTTGTCAAATCTACTGCTGGATGAAGGTCTGTCCACACGTTGTTGGTCAAGGGGCTTATTTGACCATACTTCACAATGCTGATCAATAACAGTCGGTGAAGGGGGGTGGGGGTGCCCAGGTCAGATATCACTCACCGCTGATATCAGCAGTGCCCAAGAATCAAACTCGGGTGGCTGAGTTCAAAGCACAGCATGGTAACCGCTGTGTCAGCTCCCCCAATATATAAATGTAACATGCTGTACTTAATCTGTATGCACCCCAGGTCTTCATTGCAAATTGGATGTATGTCTCCATGGGTTCTCACCTGGTTATAAATAAAGTTCACGCATGCACGTGTGTACGTACGCATTTCCTTTGGTAAGCTGCAAACTCAAATGTACCCAACCAATTATCACCTCCTTAGACAATTAACAACACGAATCAGAATTTGATATGAGAAAAGTAGCCCACAACTGGCGTGGTTAAATGGCAATGTAATTCACATCTATTTGTGAAAATAATATTCTTTATGCGTTTTGGAACAGCGTGAACTACTTCAACCAGGTGAATGTAAACTGCATATGGATTTCACATTCATTAACAGGCTTATATATCGCAACATTAAATGTATTGACCACCACAAAAGCCACGTGACGATTGCCTGCTACCATTTACAACCATAGGTGATGGTTGAACACGTAGGCTTTCGCGACCAATATCATCCATAATAATTTTTTGGGTTAGCTCGCATAAATATATAAATGTGTCGTTTAACCCGCCACCACCCTATACAGCCAATTAGTAAGGTTTGTCACATAAACAGAACATGCCAATTCGTTACGAGTGTAATGACTTGACACACTTGTCTTGAGATGTTTGTTTATTGAGGAGACACGTTCACTAGAACTGCAACAGCCCCGAGTCTCCCACGCATCTCCCTGATATACGGACCGAGGCCACGCCCCCCTTCCCGAACCTTCTCGCTGGCTCTAGACACTCGTTCCACCAGCAGACTCAACCGTCCTCTTCCGTCACCTGGCCACGCTCCTATTCTCGATCATTCCCGTAGCCACCAGTCCCTTCGTGCTGCAAGCTGACAGCCCTGTCATTACCTCCCGTGGCCACTAGTCCACTCACACCACAGGTTGACTCTACTGTCATTACACTACTACAGCACACCAGTGTGTTGGAGAGCAAAGCCACAACATTTACAATCTGAGTACTAGTAACGAATTGGCATGTTCTGTTTACGTGACAACCCCTACTAATTGTCTGTGTCGGGTGGTGGTGGGTTTAACGGCACATGTATATATTTGCACGATCTAACCCAAAAACCTGTATTTATAGGTGACGGTGATGGTGCAGCTCTGCAATTCAAGTTTCAAGTTTAATTTATTAGGTATAGCCCTGTGAGCCATGCTTGCTCTCATGCCACTGCCGGCGGGATGGGCCTCCACTAGAGGGATTTCTACTTTTGCCTACAATTGCCTACAATTTCCCACACTGGCCAGACGTATTTGGAAGAGGTGGGAGTACCCATACCTTAGCCCACCATACGCGACCAGCCGATCGACGAACTGTTTACAAGTATACACACGATAAAAAAAACCGAGGTGGTGTTCTCACAAGCATGGGGTGTTTAATACCACACGTGTCAGTGGTGTGTGAAGTTACCCATCAAGACTTGCGAATAAAGAAATTATACTTACATTTAAAACATCACTGTCCCAGCAAAGAAAACCCCCTGGTAAGAAATTATTATAAAACAGCATTTTCGCGCAAAATGAATAAATCAAACGCAACGCTTACCCTGAGGAGCAACTGATGAAAACAGCTGCCTCGGCAGGGTGGCAACTGAGCACGCTCCATTCCGTCGTAATCACAGAGCCTCCACGGAAGCAGCAGAATTGTTAACTTACGTACAGAAAACAGACACCCTGCTGTCAACTTCTTTATAGATCCTCTATCAATTACCATGGCAGGAGCCTAAAGAACATTGCGTAAGGGCAATGGAGGGAGAGGTTATGAAAAGTACTGCCCGAACACCAGCTGCGGTGAATATGTATGCTACGATTCTGGGCACATCATTGTGGAGCACAAGATGCACAAGATGTATGTGAGGTCACGAGTAAAAACAAGCGTGATATAAGATGGCCTCGCGATGTTCGGGAAGAGGAACTTGCTTTTGAAGCGAAATATCCCATCGCCTGGCGCGCTGCCCTTAATAATATATAATGTAACCAATATGTTTGCTACATTGAAAGGCTGTACGTGGGAGTTATTCACGAACTGAGACATCGCATTCCCATAGAAATAAATGTGTCATCAATGTCAGAAAAGAGCGCGAGCACGCGCAGTTGTGTTCGACGCATGAACGCAATGTATGGAGAGCCAAGCAAGGCGACGATTAGCATCGCCTCTTTCTGCCTTGCATCACGAGGAGCTTGGTCTGCTCCGAACAGGCTGAGCTGAAACATAGTGGCTTTTTCCTAATTGGCCTTCAGTCGCGACGCTCAACCAAGAACCCTCTCTGCAGTCTTGTGGGAGGTCATTTCTTGTTGCCACTGCACGAGCCCTGCCCACGAGCTGCCGTGTGTTTTTATGGCAGAACGCCTGTTGCTGAGGGTATGGTTTTATGTATGAACGGGCCCCACTGTAAGAAGACAGAAAGTGTGGCAGGCTCATGGTCGGGGGGGGGGGGCATAAGCAGACATTTATTTGTGGCGGCACACCTTTCGATTTGTAACGCCCAAGTGAGATTACAGACGCGTTTTTTATGCAAAAGACGAAGAAGGAGTTAGATGAGAGAAGAGAGATGCAGGCACGATATGGACGAGGAAGATGAATTAACTTATTTAATGTTAATTACCTTTTTATGATTCGTCAGAATTTTCAATTTGAGATGATATTTGGTTCACCCCGATTTCTTTTTTTCTCGAATCCGCGGCCCCCTGACATTCTTGGGGCTCGAAGCAATTTGCTGAGATTTCTTATGTCGAGGGCAACCACTGTGCACAGGTGCAGTCACGTGGCTGGAGGCAGGATACTCTACATGCATATCACTCTCTCTCTAATCCTCTAGCTTTGTAGAGAACTAGCTGTACTACCCGGCTTCGCCCGGGACTTGGATCCATCACGCCCGGCCGCCTTTGTCTCCCCAGTGGCAATGTTCATACGCCACACCAGTTACTCGTTTTGAGGCTGAGTCGACCTAGGGGAGGCCCAGGACCGGTTCAAATAATCGTCACCGGTGGTGGCCGTGAGCGGGAATGCAACTCGGGTCGCCGGGTTCGTAGCGCGGCGCGCTAACCACAACACTACAATGCGTTACGCTTCCGTTGTAGGGTTTGTGTAAGGCACGCCGATCCGTTGTAGGATTTGTGTGAGGCGTACCGATCCGTTGTAGGATTTGTGTGAGGCGCGCCGATCCGTTGTAGGCTTTTAGTGAGGCGCGCCGATCCGTTGTAGGGTTTTAGTGAGGCGCGCCGATCCCCCGCGCTACAATAATACTGTGTAATCACTATAATTTTATTATCTACCGACCCTATAATAGTAATTGCACCCATTGGGGTGGCGGGGGAGTGAAGAGGACGTTAAAATTTGATGAATTTACCTCAGAGTCGCGTGGTGGGTGTCGAGGCCTAGCACCGTGCAGAGCCTCCGGCCTCGCCTAAATTGCCCACCCGGCTGAGGCTGGGTAGGGGTGCCGTCCCCCCCCCCCCCCCCACGCTACAATAATACTGTCTAATCGCTATAATTTTATAATGTACCGACCCTATAATAGTAATTGCACACATTGTGGTGGGGGGGGGAGTGAAGAGGACGTGAAACTTTGATGAATTTACCTCAGAGTCGCGTGTTAATGCATGCGCCTATTTTTAACGGGAATTAAAAATGGCGTCCACCCCGCGGCGAAAGCGTCGCTACCCGTTGCCAGGGGCAACCG